TCTCTCTCTCTCTCTCTCTCTCTCTCTCTCTCTCTCTCTCTCTCTCTCTCTCTCTCTCTCTCTCTCTCTCTCTCTCTCCCCAAAAACATACCGAAGTAACTGATGGTCGCTCTCATCATACGCTCAAACATAAGACTATGCAATTGTTTGGCTGCGGAAATACATCCATAACTAACAGCCAGTTGTGTGGCGGGAATGGCCAGCACTTCAATTAAACCAAACAATACAAACAACGCGAGTCTATGGTTACGCCACCAGTTCTGGTCAGACATTTCGTGATCGATAGCATCGGTAGACCATTGGCTGAGCCAAAGACCGGACGCCACTGTCGCCGCATTGGACACAATATATCCCAAAATAAATACTATTAGTGATGAGCGGCCAATCAGTTGGACGTATTTCTTGAACGTGTGCCACACAGTATGTATAGATGTAATGCCTGTTGGTTTATCTACCTGAACCAGCTTGCATTGTTTGGCATTTCCACTTGGGTCAGTTTGTGGGGCATTATCACCAATTTTTGATTTATTAGTTATAGATATTCGGCTTCTATTCCGTTGGAAATTGTTTTCATTGTTTGCATCAGATTTATGCGATTCTTGTCTTTCTATCAATGGTTTCACTGTTTGTCTCAGTTTTGCCAGAATTTGCAGTTCTTTCTCATCGATGTCTTCGGATTCCTGTTTAACGACATATTCGGCAACAAATTCAGCGAATTCTCCACTTTTGGCCATCAGTTCATCAAATGATCCGAAATCACAAACGGATCCCTCTTTTAAGACAATTATTTTGTCCACTTCTGGCAAAACTGACGCCTTATTTGTCACTAAAACACGTGTTTTGTGGCGAAGAAGTCCTTTCGGACCAATTGTTTGGTCAAATAGATGTCGTCCGACGTGTGGGTCGACAGCACTCAACGGATCGTCCAATAGATATATGTCTGCCGAGGAATAGACAGCCCTCGCGAGTGAAACCCTCTGTTTCTGACCGCCGGACAAATTGATCCCTTTTTCCCCGATTTCTGTCATATCTT